TCGACTCCTCGACCTCTATTCACAGCTCCCTCCAGTCCCTACACTCGACATTCCCTCCTCCATACATCACCTGCACGATCCCTGACTCGAATGCCACAGCCATGAAGCTTCTCCTCGACTTGCCTCCCTCCTTCGCCAACGACTCAGCACGTCACCTCACCTCACCTCCCCTCCTCTCCTCTCCTCTCCGCTCCCCTCCGCCTCCGCCTCCCCTCCCCTCCCCTCCCCTCCCCTCCTCTCCTCTCCTCTCCTCTCCTCTCCTCTCCTCTCCACCCTCTTTCTTCCAGCTCTTCTCTTCTTCTCTCAGACAGTTCAACTCCTCCTCCCCCTTTTACCTATTCCCCAAACCTCCTTCTTCCTCTATCTTTCCCTCCCCCTCCCCTCCTCCTCCTCCTCTTCCTCCTCACCGGCGGTGCTATACCCACACAGAAATCGACCACTCGCTCCTTCTGCACTTTCTGCTTGCAAGTCACCGACAGGCAAGAAGCAGGAGAGGAGGAGAGTTGAACTACTTCGGAGAGGACGGGCATGTCAGTTTTTTCAAGGAGGAGGAAGAAATGAATCGTTGAAGATGAGTCAAGCACAAAGAAAACCTGCATAAAGAGATTCAAAAACATTCCTTCTCTTCCTCCCTTCTCTCTCCCTCCTCCTCCCTGCTCCTGACCACTCTTTCGTTCCTCCTCCTCCTCCTCCTCTCCCTCCTCCTCCTCGTCCTCGTCCTCGTCCTCGTCCTCGTCCTCGTCCTCTCCTTTTCCTCGCTTCATGTTCCATCAACTCACCGCTGGCCGAGTGGGAGACCATGCGACGGACACTATTCCTCCTGCCAAGCCGATCAAACATACTGATCCCCCCCCCCTCTCCCTCCTCGCTCCTCGCTCCTCGCTCCTCGCTCCTCGCTCCTCCAGCTTTTCCACTTTCCCCTCCCCTTCTTCCTATCCTCTCTGCTTTTTCTCCTCACCTTCGGCGAAGTTTCGCCATGTTCGTCTCGGCGTCGCGTTTCTCGTGCTGTAAAGCGATACCGAACCATCTCCCCGCGCCACCTGCTCATCAGCGTTAGAGGAGCGACTGAGAGGGACAAGCTGAAGGATGCAGGAGGAGGAGAAGCAGCACGAGAACGAGCAGGAGGGAAGCGCAGGGAGCGAGCAGGGAGAGGAGGAAGGAGATAAGGAGGCAGGGGAAGGGGAGGTACCAGGAACGGATTTGCTTCCTCCTCTTCAGAAATCCGCAAGGGAAGGATGAAAAGGCAATCGAAGAAACCCGAGTTGCCCCCACCCACCCAAACCCCCCCAACCCCTCCTCCTCCTCCTCCTCCTCCTCCTCCCACTCGATCCTCTGCTTCCACGAATCTACTGGGCCGCGGGTGCCGCCCAAACCTGTGAGGGGTAAGGGAAGGAAGAAAATAGAAGAAGGGAAGAAGATGAGAGAGACAGTGAGAGAGAGAAAGGGACAGGAAGGGAGATGAAGGGAGATGGGCAACCGTACTTGGCAAGTTGGAGGACGCTGCCGTCCTCGATTCCCAAGAGGATGAGATTGTCGTCCTGCGGATGCAGGCAGAGGGAACCTGAGGGAAGTCAAGGAGAGCAGGAGCAGGAGCGGGAGCGGGAGCAGGAGCGGGAGCAGGATCTCACAGGCGCGCTGGAGTTTCCACAGGGAGGAGGAGGATTTGTCTCGTTCCTTGTGCATGCTAAGCTGACCGATACGGAGAAGCTTCAGGCCTCCACCTGCAGCAAAAGTACCTAGCTCCCGTCCTCCTGCCTCCACTCCCTGCACTCTCCTCCCTCCTCCTCCTCCCCTCTCCTCTCCCTCGCTCAATCCCCTCTCCTCTCCTTTCCTTCCCTTCTCCTCTCTTCGCTCCCCATTCTCCGTAGGCCTCTCTCCTCTCCTCCTCCTTCCCCCCTCCTCGCACACCATAAGCCATGTGAATGTCGTCCGGGTCCTGCGGTGAATCAAAAGTCAGAAACAATCTTTTCTTGCCTCTTCCTTCCCCCTCCCCCCACTCTCCGTTCATCCTCCCTCCTCTCCCCTGCTCTACTTCTCTTCCTCCCCCCCCCCTCATTACTTCGTCTTCTCCCCCGTCATCTTTCGTTCTCTTTCACTCACCTCTACCACTATGATCGACCAGAAAATATTCTTTCCCTCCTCGTCTGTCGATACCACCTGCTCCAGGGTCAAACTATCCCCTCCAACTTGTTTCTGACACTGTCTCCTCCTCTCACCCTCCCTCCTCCCCTCCTCCTCCTCCTCCTCCTCCTCCTCCTCCTCCTCCTCCTCCTCCATTACTTGTGATCTTTGCCTACCCTCTGCCTGCTCCAACGGTCAGCAGGACAACAGTGTCAGAGAATTGAAGGGAAGGAGCCCAACCATGGCTCAAAAGCAGGAGCAGGAGCAGGAGCAGGAGCAGGAGCAGGAGCAGGAGCAGGAGCAGGAGCAGGAGCAGCAGATGGAGCAGGAGGAGCAGGAGGAGCGTTACCTGCAAAGAACGGTTGAGGACGTCGACCTTTGTGATTGTCAGGCTCGGAAGCATAAGTCGAAGAAGGGACAAGGAGGAGAAGTGGGTAGGAGGATGGAGGAGAGGAGGAGGAGGAGAACAAAGAGAGGGAGGAGGAAGAGGAGGAGGAAAGAAAAGGAGGAGGGCTAGCGATGGTGATTGTTACGTACCCCAACGATACGAGCGCAGTGAGAGTTGCCGTCTTTGATGGAGCTGAACTCGGAGCTGAACTCGGAGAGCGAGGAGGAAGAACAAGAATGCGAGAGGAAGGGGGAGGAGGAGGGAAGATGAAAAGAAAAGGAGGGAAGAAGAGAGGGCGGAAGAGGGAGCCAGTGTGGGGAGCAAGTGATCACTTCAAGTCAAGTAGGAGAAGGAAACTTTACGTGTATGCTGGGAGATGGACGTGAAGAGGTTCAGAGGAGGAAGCAACCTGGAAAGCAGCGGTTCAAATTGTGCTGGAAGAAAACAGGGAAAGGAAGGAGGAGAAGGGGGGGGGAGAAATGAAAAGTAGGTTTGGGAAGAGAAAATTAGGAGAAGCGAGTACAAGATTGAAGAAGGAAGGGAGGAAGAGAAAGGAAGGGAAGGGAATAAGCGAGGCAACAAAGAGCGGCAATGGGGAAGGAAAATTGAGCAGAAGAAATGGAAACGGAAGGGAACGGAATGCAAAGGAACTAGAGGATGGGGAGGGAGGGAAAGCGAGAGAAGAGGGAGGGAGGGAGGGAGGAGGAGGAGGAGGAGGAGGATTGTTAGCAGGCACTAGGCACCTCATGGACGAGGAAGTCGTTGTCGAGGTCCCAAAGAGATATAGTCCCCTCTTCGCTCCCAACCTGAAACCCCATGAGGACAAGAGGAGGACGAGGACGAGGACGAGGGGCTCACAATGAGCAGGCAGCGGCCGTCGACTGAGGAGGAGGAGAAGCAGGTGGGAACAGAGTGAGTCGCGAGGACTTTCCAGTGCTCGGAGAGGTTGTCCAGCTGAAGACGAGCTTGTCAGTTATGTTTGCGGGAAGTTTGATGTAGTTTGAGACCTTCCAGACGACAATGAAGTGGTTGAAATCGTTCTCGTCGACATCTCTTGTTGCCTTGCAGGAGAAACTGGCGAAGATGTCAGATACCCTCCCTCCCTCACTCCCTCCCTCACTCACTCACTCACTCCCTCACTCACTCACTCACTCACTCACTCACTCACTCACTCACTCACTCACTCACTCACTCACTCACTCACTCACTCACCCTCCCCTCCCCTCCCCTCCCCTCCCTCCCTCCCTCCCTCCCTCCCTCCTTGCCCCTTCTTCTCTTCTCACCACAGTATCTTGCTCCTTCCGTCGCTCTGCATCACCTTCACCCCTTCAAGACCCGCAAACTTCTGTGGGAACATCAACTAGCCGGCAGACAGCTGGGCGAGTGACCTGGAGGAACTTCGAAGAACATAGAGAAACAGTACTGGAAAAACTGCAAGTTTATATCAGACTCCTCCTCCTTCCCTCCCTCCCTCTCCCACCCTTCTTCCCTCCCCTCCTTCCCTCCTTCCTTCGCTCCCTCTCCCTCCCTCCCCTCCTGCCCTCCCTCCCCTCCTTCTCTTCCTCCCTCAACCCCCCTCCTACCACTCCCTCGTCTGCTCTTCCTCCTCCTCTCCCTGCTCCTGCTCCAAGTGCTCGTCCTTTTCCTCTCGTCTCCTCTTGTCCTCTTCTACCTTGTGGCGGCATTGGAAGTCCGCGCCTGCAGAGATGCCATGAGCCTTCGGAAAGGAGGCAGAGGAGGCAGAGGAGGTCCGAAGGGAAGCTCGGGAACAGCAATAGGGAGGCAGATAGTCGTAGGGAGAGGTTAGGTAACGAGCAGAGAAGGGGGATGGGCGGGACAAGGGAGGGCTTGCAATGGAAGGACGAGAAAGAGGCGGAAAGAAACCTCTGCTGCCATGAAAGCCTCCACAGGGTTCGTTCGCTTCTGCGTCTCTTTCCTGCCTCACAGGTGAGAGGAAATGGTGGAAGGAAGGGAGAAGGACGAGGACGAGGACGAGAGCGAGAGAGAGGAGGTTGGAGGATCTTACGCAGCCTCATCGAGGAGGTTGAGCATGACAGGCTCCACGCGCTTGAGAAAAGCGACAAGTTTCGAAGTGTCCTGAGGAGTTAAGCTGACAGAGGGAAGAGGAAGAGACGAATGAAGGAAGGGATGAGGGAGGTCAGAGAGAGGAAGGAAAGGGAGAGGAGAGGATGCAAAGAAGGGAGAGAGGTTGGAAAGGAGGCAGGCAGGAAAGATTCATACCTGACCCAAAAGATTGCTAACTTCTCCTTTTGCTGGAGTGAAAGTTAAATTGCACTCTCTTCGTATCTTCTTTCCCCTCCCCTGCAGACTCCCCTGCTCTCCCCTAATCTCTTTCTGCATATTGTTTCCCCTTTCCTCCGCAAACTTTCCCTCTCCTCCTTTCTTCTTCATCTTCATCATCACCATCACTATCACCATCACCATCGTCACCTCCGTATTCATCAATGTCAATCAGCACCTCCGCCGTTATCCTCAACTTTCAATGGCTCATTTCTTACCTAAGTCATCTAATCTCTTCTGTCGATCTTTTCTCTTCTCGTAATGCGTTCGCGACAACAAATCGTCAGGACACTGTCAGCGCGTAAGAGAGAAGAACAACGATTTGTCATCTCAGATTGACCTGCATGCCCGCATGCGAGCGAACGATGACTTCGGTTTGTGAGTCAAAGTCCCTTTGCTTGCTGCTGTCTGGACACTGAAATGGTCGTCAACTCCTCAATGCTCATATCGAACTTCAGCATCATCTCAATCATCTCCATCATCTCCATCGTCGTCTTCACCACCATGGCCATCAAAATCATCTCCACATCATGTTACCGTAACCTCCATCATCATCATCATCATCATCATCATCATCATCATCATCATCATCATCATCATCATCATCATCATCATCATCATCATCATTGCCACCACTACCACTACCACTACCACTACCACTACCACTACCACTACCGGCAGCATAAAACAACATTATCGCAGTCATCATCTCTATCATAATCTGCATCAACGTCTTGTTTCATCATTGCCGTCACTCCTCACCTGAGATGCCATGCTCAATTTCCCTGCTCGCGAGATCCCTCTGGCGTAGAGCTCGAAGAGTGAGAGAGGAGGCATGTCCAGAATCGTCTTCGTGCCACAGTCCTGACATTCACCGTTAGGAGGAGAGAAGAGGAGCAGGAGGCGAGAAGAGGAGTAGGAGGAGAGAAGAGAAGCAGGAGTAGAGAAGAGGAGTAGGAGTAGAGAAGAGGAGTAGAGAAGAGGAGTAGGAGGAGCAAGAGGTGCAGGAGCAGGAAAGGAGCAGCAGGAGCAGCAGAGGAGACAAGACTCACAGAGAGTTTGACTTTGCCGCTCGTCACGAGCTCCTCAAACTTCTTCTTGCGATGGCGAGAGAGCGCAGCCTGGTCGGCATGGTTGAGCCTGACTGAGGACGATGCAGCTGTCGGGTCCACAAACTTTCGCTCCTGCCCACACCCTTGAGAGGCTTCGACCGAGACTTCATGACACTCACGCGCGTGGGAGGAGCGACAGGCGAAGAGTTTCCGCTGAGATTCTCCTGCGTGCTCCCGCCAGGTACATGAGGGAAGTTCTTTGAGGCAGGAGGGCCTGTCACTTCAACTTCTCCTCAGAATTGTTCGACCTTCCTCCTCCTCTCTTGTTCGAACTCCCTCTTCCTCTCTTACCTTCTTGCTGTGTCTGCTTGGATAACTTGGCGTTCTCAAGCTCCATGGCGCGTCTGACCTCCAGTACCTGCACATGCAAACTTCACGCTTGTCGCAAGCATCACTTTGACTGCCTTGGGGTCAAACTTTTCACTGGACGATCTCTCCTGCTTGTCTCTCTGCAGCAGCAGGACAACATCAGGCATCACGATGAGCATGGCGACATGCTCACCTCCTTGTGCGCTGGGGAACGTGATGCCTTGGTGGCGGGCTCTGGGTTGTCGTCTTCGAAATCTTCCTCATACTCCTTGTAGGAAAGTCATCAACCTGATGGATCCCTGACTCTACTTCCTCCCTATCCTCTTCCTCTTCCTCTTCCTATCCTTCCCTCCCTCCCTCCCTCTCACTCACTCACTCTCACTCTCTCTTTTCCCAATCCTCCCAATCCTTCTCCCTCCTTTTTTCTCACTCACCCACCACCACTCACACTCTTCCTAACTTCCATCTCTCCCTCTCCCTCTCCCTCTCCCTCTCCCTCTCCCTCCTCTCCCTCTCCCTCTCCCTCTCCCTCCTCTCCCTCTCCCTCTCCCTCTCCCTCTCCCTCTCCCTCTCCCTCTCCCTCTCCCTCGCCCTCCTCTCCCTCTCCCTCTCTCTGCTCCTCACCTCGAAATCTTCATCTTCGTAGTCGCTCATGGCGTCAGTTTCCCGCACTTCTCGCCTTTGTCTATAACCCACAACCCACCTGCTTCCCTTGAATTAATTAAGACCTTTACTAGTAAAATTGGTATCTTGACCCCTTCCCATTTCCCCTGCCCGTTTCCCCTCCGACCAGTAGCTCTGCTTGTTTCAGATAGGGCGGATGACCGCATTCCTGACAGGTGGGGCTGAGTAGACGATGAGAGGAGGGCGGGAGGAGGGAGGGGAGAGGGAAGGTGGGTAGAGGAAGGAATGGAGAGGGAGGAAAGAGAGGAAGGGCAACGGAGGAAGGAGAGGAGAGGCAGGACAAGTAATCGTTCCGAGTTGACATGGGTTCAACAGGGGTTTTGCTCGTCCTTCACCTTCAAGCTCTGTCTTCCTCGCTCGTTTCAAAGCCGCTCATGAGCATGGATCCCAACTCCATCGAGCCGCTTCCTGCCAGACCGCGACAAGCCTTCGGAAGAGCCAGACATCTTCGAGGAGGGGGGGGGGAAGTGAAAGTAGCAAGTCAGGGTGAATGTGTGGAGTATCAAGGGAACCTGGGTCAGGACGACAAGTCATTCACGGATGTAGTCAACTACGAGTACCTCGATCATACGGCTGACGTACAGTTCCACTCCTGGGGGAAGACCAAGGAAGAAGCTTTCGAACAGGTCAAGTTCAACTCCTCCCTCCTCCTCCTCTCCTCCCCCTCCTCTCCTCCCCCTCCTCACCTCTTCCCCTCACAGGCAGTGGTCTGCATGTTCTCTTACATCACCGACCTGCCAACGGTGGAGCTGCGAGCAAGCAACACGGTTGAGGTGAGAGTAGGGCGAGAGACATGCGAGAAGTCGATGACTGGCCGATGAAGGTCACAGGGAGGGACTTGCAGAGTCTGCTGTACGCCTTCATGGACGAGTTTCTCTTTCAGTTCTCGGTAACAGCTGCGCTTGCCTCCCTCCCGCGCGCTGACTGTTGTACAGGTTGATGGGCACGTGGCAAGGCAAGTCAAGATCCTCGAGTTCGACGAGACGAACTTTCGGTGCATGTCTAAATGTCCTTGCGACAAGTACTCATGCTTTTCAAAGGATAAAAGCAGAGGGTTATGGAGAGAAATTTCAGGTTTGATGATGATGAGTGTGCGAGTGTAGGCTGAGTAGGTGCCGTATCCAGCCCAGGACGAAACATCCGCAAGGGACGGAGGTGAAGGCGATAACGTATTCTGCCATGCAGATCAAGATCGAGAACGATCGGACAGACATCTATGTCATCGTGGACATCTAGAGTTGATTGAATCTTTATGTGTCACAGTTACGGCCTTGCGTGTGTTATTAAGACTTGAAGGGGGTGGGAGGCAGCAGTTCATGTGGGGGGTGGGAGATGTACAACAGCTTTCGACGCTCTGGCCTCTTTTATCCCTTTCGATCGCTTCCTTCATGACAACTTTCCCTCCCTCTTCCACTTGCGGTGCATCACAGTATTGAGCCAGTTGGAGTAGAAGACCTGCACGCAAGCTAAGCTAAGCTCTCTTTCCTCCTTGAGAGTTTTCGTCACCTGGCCGGGGGTCTGCCATGTCAGGACCGGCGTGTTCTTGGGGTCGTCTCCTGCACGCCCTTCAGTCTCTGCCGTCGAGAAGTCCTGGCAGCCTCGCTCACCTGGATAGTACTGGTTGGGAATGTGAATCGGCTCCCCTGTTGGCGTCCCCTTCACTAGATCGCGCCTGTACTCTCCGTCCAGTGTGTCCACATCGTACTCGAAGTGGTTGATCATGTGCGCGTGCCCCAGGTCCTCGTCCCAGACCAGCCCGGGCCCGGCTTCCTCCGGCCCATCAAGAAGGATCTGCGAGAGGAGGAGGATGAGGGGCAGCATTATGCAGCATCATGGCTGTTACCTCGAGCTTCGGGTTCGAGATGATGTCGTCTCTCTTCCAGGTGGTATGGCGGGAAACGGGAATGCCGACATGGTCGGGGATCGCCTGCACAGGGGAGTGAGCGGCAGGAGCTCGAGCGCTCTTCCGTTGCCTGAACGAGCATGCGATCCTTGGAGGAGATCTTGTGATCGAAGACACCGAAGACTTTGCGAGGGGTGATGTGCTTCTTCACGCCATGGAAGTGCCACAGCGAGGCCATGGCTCCCCAACACAGTGAGAGTATGCCTGCATCCATCTTTCTGACGTCTTCGAAGAAGTCTTGAAGCTCTTTCCAGTATGCAACCTGGCCATGCAGTCATCTCCTTCCCATCTCTCCTCCTTCCCTCCCTTCCCCGCTTTCTTCTCACCCCAACCTTCCCTCCTCCGCCTCCTCCCCCCCTTCCTCATTGCAGCAACCTGTTCAAAGTCTAGATGCTCAATGGGAGCCCCTGTTAAAATGATCCCGTCGTACTTCTCCCCTTTCACCTCGTTGAACCGCTTGTAAAACTTCTCCAGGTGCCCTGGCGTGGAGTTCTTGCCCGAGTAGGTGTTGGGAACGACCCACGCGATGTCAGACGCCACGGGTGAGCGAGCGAGCATCCGGCAGAGCTGTAGTTCCGTCGATTCTTTGAGGGGCATCAGGTTCACGATGCATATCCTCAAGCTGGAGATAGTCGGGGGCGGCTTTGACTGCGAGCTTTCCACCCATGCTTTCTCTTCCCTGAGACTCTTGTAGGCTTGCAGGTCTGGATGCAGGATGGCGGGCAGCCTCGAGGCACGGCTGACGTGAAATGCTCTCACAGCGGATCCTGAGAGCAAGCGAGCAGGGCGATGAAACGCGAGCATCCCTGCCAGTTTCTAGACCAGGAGGAAAGAGAGGAGGGAGAGGAGAAGATAAGAGAAGAGACCTGCGAGGAGGGGCGAGGGGCGGGGAAGAGAAAACCAGGCAACGGATCGCTCGTGCGGGGGAGCAGGTGAGGGAGGAGGAGCCGGAGTTCGCAACGCGGACAGTACTACAAAGATTCGTCTCAGTACATTCACACCGGTACAAGATACTATTTAAAAAGTTTCTATGGTGGGTAGGGTACTAATTATTTTGTTGCGTTCTGCTTTCAAGACGTAGGAGAGAAAAATTGAGGGGATGAGGGGGATGCACGAAAAAGGGCCTGAGAGGGGACGAGGGAAATCATGGGTGGGGACGAGGGTCTGTTGTGAAGGGGCATGAAAAACAGATGAAATGAGGGTGGGTGTGGCGCTGCTAGTAGCAGCGGCCATGGCGGGGATAGTAGGCGGGAGCGGTAGAGCAGAGCTACTAGAGGACGGAGATCGAGCTGCTCCAGCTTCAGAGCTGCAGCTCGATCAGGCGGGGAGGGAGCAGGCGCTGAATGGTATTGCCATGGGCACGCACGGAGGAGCTGACGGCTTGCACAACATCCCCACCCAGCGGCCGACATGGGAGCGAGGAGGAGCGACATGGGTCTATGGATCAATCTATGGCGATGGCATTCGACCCCAGGACAGCGTTTGGTGCGATTGCGACTCACCGGAGGAGTGCAAGGCAAAGTGTGGGGGGAAAGAAGAGCAGGTCGAGGCTCCTGAGAGCCCTCCCAAAGGGCAGGAGGAGGTTCAGGGTGAACCCCCCCAGGAGGAGCAGCAGGAGCAGCAGGAGCAGCCAGCGGAGACGCAGGCTGAAGAAGCACCGGCAGCTGAGCCGGAGGCGGAGGAGGCTGTGCCGGCTCGACCACGCTACAGGGACGAGAAGCCACGAGAGAAAGCCTCGCGGCAGCGGCAGCAGCAGCAGCAAGAGGAGAAGCGAATGGGTGGCACAGGATACGTTCTTACGCTTCCGCAAGAGGGCTACGAACCTAAACTCCCGGTGAGCGGTCAACCTGTGGCATATCCTGCTCAACAGACTTCAGGCTGGTAAGACGATGATACCTCAGTCTCTCCCTCACCCATTGATGCTGAGTGTGTCGAGAGTCAAGAGATGTCTTCTTCTCTTGTTGCCTCACAACTCCTCCTGCGTCATCCTCGCCTGCTCCTTGTCCTCTGATCTTTGTTTGTTCCTTGAAGGTCCAACACTCAAGCAGCTCCCACATGGACCTCAGCACAAGCGACATTCGAAAACAGCGGACTGGTCCCGTCTCGATGGACTTCGGAGGATGCTGCAGAGCACACGTTGAACCTTCAACAGTGAGTCTGAGATCGGGAGGTGACAGGAGGAGGGTGACTAGCTGTTGGTGAAGGTGGAGAATATCGATTCTTCGTTCAAAGTTGAAGCAAGCGAGGTTGAGGAAGGAGTTGATGAAAGTTGCGGTGCTGCCTCTGCTGCTGTCACTTGAGATGCGGGCTGACTTCTGTTCAGACGGTTCCGATCGATCTCGGACGGCAATCCCTTCACAGTCGTCCCAGGTCGGACTCGAGGGGTCAAGGGGAGTCGCAGGAGATCGATTCGCTCAAGAAGGACCTCGTGGCCGTTGCGAGCGAGACGGCAAGCGCGAGACCTTTTTCTTCTCGTGCGTTGACGTTGGTGAACAGGTGAAAGCGATTCAGAACCTTCGCTCGACCATTAGCAGCATCAAAGACAAGACTAGTAGCTCCCACTCCAAGACTGCTGGCTCACGCTCGGGGCAGAGATCGCCAGCTACCTCTTCGAGTTCGCAAGCCGCTCAATCAAAGGCGACCTCGCCGTCCAACAAGCACTTGGCGTCAAGGTTGCAAGATGTTCAGAAGAAGACTCTCTCCCTCCTCCATGCTCTCTCCAACAGAGTGGACGCGGTGGTGGCAGAAAGGAAGCGATCGGAGAGGCTGAAGCGCAGCAAGATGCTTTCGAGCATCAGAAGCCATCTGAGAAAACAGGCGAGTGAAGGTCCTGCCCTGGTGCTCCGCTCCTCTGACTTGCTGTCAGATCACGAGGTTACAGAGGCATGTCAACGCTGCGGTGGAGCGGAAGAGGGAGGAGGAGGAGAGAGCTGCGAGGAGGAAGAGTGAGGTGGGGGAGGTGCAGTCGGCGTTAGGAAACATTCAGAAGAGCGTCGAGAGCTCGTCGGAGGCTGTGCGGGAGGAGGGGAAGAGGTCCAAGAGGAAGGAGGAGAAGATCCTGGCTGTACGCGACAAGGCCGACAAGGTGGTTCACGCGTGCTCTCCGTGCCCGCTGACGTGCTGCAGGAGTTGGACTCTTTGCTCAAGACAGTCGACGAGGCGATTGCAAGGAAGAAGTGGAGGGAGAAGATGAGAGACGGGGCGTGACATTGCTGTGTCTCCTCCCGATCAACCTTGAATAACATCTGACCTTCAACTCTCCTCCGTTCCCTCCATCTCTCCTCTTCCCTTCCCTTCCTCCCTGCCCTCTTCCTCCCTCTCTCTTCTGATTGCCGAGCGACAGCTCAAATCGCCCGACGACGAGATTTGACGTTGAAGGTGATACGGTTGGATGACCACCATACACGCCCTGTGACCACCTGCCAATGCACTCAGTCCTCACAGCACCTACTTGCTCCCTCCCTGTCCTCATCCTCTCCTCCTCCTCCTCCTCCTCCTCCTCCTCCTCCTCCTCCTCCTCCTCCTCCTCCTCTCGCCTTCTCACCGACTTCCCATCCCCCTTCTCGTTGATTGCCAACCATGACGCGTCGGTTCTCGCGCGCACGAAGTGAGTCTGAGGTTGCCCCTTGCTGGCCTCGTTCCTGGAGGGACTTGCCCACTCCTGCAGCATCCTGGTGAGAGGGAGGAGAGCGAGAGCGCTGCCTGCCTGGTCGAACTTCGCCATGATGTAGAGCGACACAGCTCCAGCTGGCGCCGAGGCGAGCAGCTGGACCTGTGCTGGTGGGTCAGGGACGGAGGGAGGTGGGAGAGAGAGGACCTGAGACTTGATGGATGGGAGCTTCTTCCCGTCCTCCCAGAGCTTTCTGTTGGTGATGGTTGTTGAGGAGCAGAGGTTCTCGGAGGAGGCGGAAGACGAGCAGACGATCTTGGCCTCGGTGATGGAGATGGCTCCTCCCGCCTCCCACGTCACAGAGAACTTGAACCCTGGGGTGACCCTGCGCAACGTGAGCAGCCGACAGTTGACATGCCAAGGCTCACAAGTTGGGCAGCTCGTCGACTTTCACGATCTCCAGCCAGGGTTGCACCATGTCAGCCAGGAACCAGCACAGGCGAATGTTGCGAGCCACGTGCCCGTTCCCCTTCCCTCCTCCTCCCACCAGCACCTCCTCGCTCGACCCCAGCAGGCTCTCACTGGGGGTCTTCTCGAAGGCTGTTTCCACCAGCAGGTTGATCGCTCGGTTCGTCGCGTTGTTGTACGTCGTCTTGGCTGCCGAGTACCCGTCGAAGCTCGAGGGCGAGCACTTGACCAGGCCCTCATTATCCCATGACGCCCCGTACGCCCAGTCCTCCATCCCTCCGTTGACTGGGTAGATCACCCTGGGATCGTTGAGCGCTCCTGTGTTGTACTCCTCCACTACTCCACGTCCGCTGGCAAACTTCCCCACAAACTTCCTCAGCCCGACTGTCAGGTCGTTCATCCCCGTCTCGTCTGGCGCTTGCCAACCCCCCGAGCAGGAGTACCAGTTCCCCTGGCAGTGAATGGTGTCTCCCCAGGGATACGCGATGAGGTGGTCGCCTCCGTGGAAGGTGATGCTGAGCTGAAAGATGTGGTCCAACCAGACCTCGTTGATGCTTCTCGCCGCGATCGTTTTCATGCACGAAGATGCCTGTTGGTCCCACGCAAAGTCGCGGTTGGGATCGACTCCATTCTCCTCCCTCACGTTCTGACTGTAGCCCAGGGCGTTGGCTGCTGGCATGATCGTGATGGCCCGCGTGTCGATCAGCCGCTTTGCCCAGGCGTCTCTCGAGTAACTTCGCAGCAGGAGGGTGGCAAACTCAACAACCGTCGTGGGGCCAACTCGCTCGTTGCCATGGAGGGTCCCGGAGAAGAAGACTTGAGGCGTGTTCTGAGTGAACTTGAGCTTGTTGGTGATCCTGATAACCCACACGTCACAGTCCTTGTCCGGCCCATTGATGTAGCACTTCCCGGCACTGCTCAGCCCGTACTTCTGCTGGGTGGTGTAGATGTCCACGAGGTCTCCGAACTCAGCCTTGAGGCTGTGAAGGCGATCGACGATGCTCGCATAGTCGAGATACTTGTAGATCACCACAGGGAGAGGAGGGAGATCAGCTGGGAGAACACAAGAGTCAGTGGGAAGCGAGAGAAAGCAAGACATTCAGATCGAAACCAGGTGGGTTTGTGGTGTTTGTGGTGTTGGGGACAGGAAGAGAAGCTTCAACAGACTCATCGTGCTGGCTAGAAGAGTTCTTCTGGATGAACTCCACACCTTCTGTTGAAGGTGGAGCTGGGAACTTGCTGGAACTCGTGCTGAGAATCACCGCAAGCGTGATTCCAAGAGCCATGAGCAGGAAGGCAACGCAAATGAGAACGCTGCGAAGGGGGAGGCCGAACAAGGAGGCCTGCATCTTGGAGTAGATTCGAATCCCTTCTCCCTCTTCGGTCTCGAAGTCCTGTCTCGCAATCTCCACCGGCTTCATCTCGATCAGCTTCCTGTCCATCATGCTGCCTCTCTCTCTCAGCGGTGCTCACGCATGATAACGGATCAGGTTTCTGCTCAAACCTCCTTGAAGGAAGGGAGGCCTGTACCAACCGATCCTGTCAGTACATCAATGGAATAGCATCAGTCTGCATTCGGCACATGCTATCTCAGTAATTCTCTCATCCCCTTGCCTCGCTATCTCTTTTCCTAGTACTTTCTGTGTTCCTTGATGTGAATTATCTTATCATACTCCCTCGTTTCTCTCGTCACTTTGCTGTTCATTTTTCTGCCTTTCTCACCTCACTTCTTGCTCCCTCCCTGCTTTCTCCTCATCCCTTCCCTCCCCTCCCCTCCCCTCCCCTCCCTTCCCTTCCCTTCCCTTCCCTTCCCTTCCCTTCCCTTCCCTGAACTTTTTCCCTGATCTCCTCCCCATGTTTCTCCAACAGCACACCTTTGCCCTCATCCCCGCTTATATCCTTTTCATTGGCCCGGGTCCTGGCCCGGGTCCGTCGGAGGGCCAGGCCCGGGTGCAGTGGGCCGGGCCCGGCGCGGCCCCCGTTGACTCCTGGGTCCGACACAGTTGAGGCTCAGGCCTGAGTTGACTCCACAAGCCTTGACCCGACCGGGTATAGTACACGCCCGGGCCGGTAGTCCGACGCCGGGGCCCGGGGTCACTGCGGCGGGTCACCGGGTGTCCGGCGGACTGTGATTCAAGTCCGAAATTCCGAAGTTGATCACTTGAAGTGTCAAGACTGCTGTACTCTCGGCCGCCCGCCCCCTGATTGTACTACTGATCGCAAACCGTTGTGACTGACTGACTTGGCTTCAAACTTGAGTGACTTAATTGCTATCTCCTGATCGGATGCCGCATCGGAACAGGGCCGCCGCCGGCGGCCGGGCGGTCAGTACACTGTCCTGGCACAGTTCCCGAGTCCGTGACGGTTGGACCGTCCCGGGTGCCGGACACGGTCCGACCGCCGCCGGGGTGACGGCAGGTCGGACGGCGCCCGCGGCCCGGCTAACTTTTAGTAACCGTGTGACGGGCCCGGGGACTCGGGAGCCTCCGATGTCCGGAGCCTCCGAGTCCGAGCCGTCAGCCGTTGCAAATGGCAGTCTTCTTAGGGGGACCCCGTGGGAATGACGGGGGGTGGGTAGTACAAGACATGAAATAGTACCCCCATTGTAGTATAGGAATGGAGGGGTGGGTGATATAGATTGAGGGTGGGGTTGAGAGCACAGGCGTTGTCAACGGCAATGGAGCGAGGAGGAACGCTCTACAGCCCTTGGTGAGTTGAGGAGGAGGACGAGGAGGAAGGAGGAGGCGGAGAAGAAAAGAAGGAGAAGGATGAGGAGGAGCAGAAGCAGAAGCTCGAGGAGAGAGATAGGATCATGGATGGGGAAACGAGAAGAGTCTGTACGAGAGAGGGGCTCGATCAAGATGTGGAACATGGCGAAGGAGAATGTAGCGAGAATGAGAGATGAAGAGCGAACGAATTAGCTCCATCCTCCCCTGTCTAGCCCGTCTCCTTCATCCCATGAGCCGCTGACTGTGGACTATTCAGCACGTTGCAGGGCAACTGGTTGGAGGACAGAGCACAGCAGACATGCGGCAGCAACGACGGGCTTCGCAGCACAGGGTTCGCGTACAAGGAGATGATGGAGAACATGGTGGTGTACAAGGGTCCAGTGCAGGAAGTGAGTATGCCGGCGACAGAGTTCGGCAAGGTCACGACGCAAGAGACGAGCAGGAACTTGTTCGCCTGCACCAGGTACAAGCATCCCCGACAGATCCCCACCCAGCGCGTGATGCCGGACTTTGGGCTGCCTTCCTCCGCTCGGTTTCTGACGACGTCGATGCTGCTGGCCAACGGAGACCGACTGGAGTATACGAAGGAAGCGAGAAAGCCAATGGTGGACGCGACCAACATGAAGGAGACGCAGAGGATGAGGAAGACAAGCCTGCCGGAGCATGGGTTCGGCGCCATAGTCCCTCGTTTCAGCGGCGATCGAGACCTGGGGAAGAGATACTGGGAGACGACGACAAGAACATTCTTTGTAAGTTAGTTGTGAGAGTGTGATCGCCGCTACGATATCCTGACTTGCTCCTCGTCCTCCTCGTCCTCCTCGTCCTCGTCCTTCTCCTCCTCCTCCGCCTCCTCTTCGTATTTCTTATATAGAACGACAAAACAACGATGACAAATCCTTCTCCTCCTAGAAGCCCCCTCTCTTCCCATCCTAACCCCCCACTGCCAGCGACCGTCGGAAACGCAAACAAGGTACTGTAGACCTCCTCCTTCTCCTCCTCCTCCTCCTCCTCCTCCTCCTCCTCCATCACCACCACCTTCTCTCGTTCTGGTCTCACTCTGACTCAGGGCGGCATACACGACAAGGGAGCAGGCTTCTCGTATGACAACAGCATCACCTACAACCCCATCCCCTTCCCCGACCAGGTAGGACCTGCCCTGCCCTGCCCTGCCCTGCCCTGCCCTGCCCTGCCCTGCCCTGCCCTGCCCTGCCCTGCCCTGCCCTGCCCTGCCCTCCTCTTCTCTCCTCCCTTGCTGTCTCCTCTCTTCTCTCACCTTCTCCCAGCAGAGAGACGGAGGCGATCCCTGGGGCAGAACACGAACAGAAAAGAAAGGTGCGGAAATGAGAAAGGAGGAGGAGGAGGAGGAGGAGGAGGAGGAGGAGAATACGAGGAGGAATGATATTAGGAGGATGAGGGTTTCAGGCATTAGCGAGGTGGAAGGTTGGTGGGGGAAGGGGGGGGGGGTAGAATCTTCTACTTCAAGTTGACGGGGGGCGGCAGGACGATTCGGAGAGCATCACATCATCAGCACAGTGAGATTGTTTCAAGACGCTCGCGGGATCGACCCTCCCCGTCTCGGCATCACGGTGAAGTCTCCTCCCCCCTCCCCCTTTCCTCCTGCCCCTGCCCCTGCCCCTGCTCCTATTCCTCTTCCTCCTCCCTCTTCCTCCTTCACCTCCCAGTTCCCTTGCCTTCTACTCCTCTACCGTCACCAACCTCATAAACTTCCTCCTCTTCCTCCTCATCTGCTTCCTCTCCCTCCTCCTTCACCTTCTGCTCTGCTCCTGCTGCTTCTTGTGTCTCCTCAATGGATTGGCAGGTCCCAGGCGATACGACAGTCTGGCCGCGTGACCCGCTGATGCCGGTGGGGAAGCCGCGAAAATGTGTGATCGCATATGCGGCCAAGGACAATGTGAGCAGAGGGGAGAGGAGTGAGGGAGGGAGGGAGGGGAGGAGGGAAGGAGGAATGTTAGGAGGGGAGGAAAAGGTCAAACGATGGCTTAACTGACGTCTGGTGCAGCTAACGAGGAGGAACGGAGTTCACATTTGGGATGACTACGCGGGGACGTGAAAGTGAATAAAGAATGAAGAGACTGAGGGCGAGGAGGAGGAAGAGGAGGGAGGGGGGAGGGGAAGGAGCAGGACAGCAAGAGTCAGGAGTGATGGTTCACACAAGCAGGAGCTCTCGCTTCTCTCCTCTTCCTCCTCTTGTCTCAGGACCTCAGTCCCCAAAACTGACAGCAGCCGGCGGAGCCTCTGCTTTCCTCATGGCCTCTCGATCCCGTCGAGTGCCGGTAGCGCGTCCTCCTGCTCAGTCTTTGTCTTTGCCTCCGTCTCTCTTCACCTGCCGTAGCGATGAGAAAGAAAAAGGCAGCAGATGAAGAGGACGCGGACGTGAACGAGGACAGCAAGAGAGAGAGAGCAGGAGCAGGAGCAGGAAGGAGGGGGAGTAGCAGCAGGAGCAGGAGGAGGAGGAGGAGGAGCAGACGTTGAGCATCGCCATGAAGGCCTCCTGGGGCACGTCGACGCTTCCCACGGACTTCATGCGCTTCTTGCCCTCAGCCTGAAGAGACTCAAGTGAGGATGCAAACACAAGGAGAGAGGAGAACGAGGGAGAAACCAAAGAGACCGAGACAAAGGGCAGTGCTGGTCAGAGGATGGAGGAGAAGGAAGGGAAGAAAAGAAGATGATGGAGCAGGAGGAAGCAAAAGGAGGAAGGAGGAGAGGAGGTGGTGGTGGAGAAGGAGGAGGAGGCGATGGTGGTAGTGGAGAAGCAGCAGCAACATGGAGGAGGAGAAATGGAGCAGGAAGAAGGGAGAAAGAGGAAGAGGAAGAGGAAGAGGAGCAGGAGGAAGCGGGAGGAGGAGGAGGAGGGATCGAGCACGGGTACTATGAGCGACCTGTTTCTTGAGCAATTTCTTCTTCCTCGTGATGTCTCCACCATAGCACTTAGCCAACACCTGCTCCCGCGGTGACCACAAGACAAGAGGAGAAGACGACGAGGTGGGAGCGTTAAAGATAGAGGAGGTGGTGGAGGAGGCAGGAGGAGGAGGAGGAGGAGGAGGTGGTGGTGGTGGTA